CTCCTTTCCTCTCTCTGAAATCAATAAAGATATATTAAAAAAAAAAAAAATGAAGATGACCTGCTCTCTGCCCTCCAGGTATTCACCTGTATATGGCGAGACAGCCACAGGGATGGCTGACAATGGCTCTCTTTCACTGAGCACTTTCTCTGTGCCTGGCACTGTTCTAAGCATTTTACGTGTATTAACTCCTGTATCTCCCCACCACAATCTTAGGAGGTTAATCCTGCCATCATGCCTATTGTACAGATGTGGAAGCTGAGGCACAGGGAGATTTAAGAACCTTGCCCAAGGTAACAATGAGTTGGTGGAGAACTGAGTGTGAACCCTGGTGGTCCTACTCCAGAGGCCCTGCTCCTACTGCTTATCAGTATAATACAGCACAGGATGGGTGCTGCTGAGGATGTTCAGGATGCTGCAGCAAGCAGGCAGGGCTTCACAGAGGGGATGGCAGCTAAGCTTGGGCTTGTGGGTACTTAAAGTTCACTAGCAATAGAGGGCCTTCAGCCCTGGGCAGGGGCTTGAATGATGCCAGTGGCCCGGGATGGGGCAGGTGAATGGGCTAGCCATCAGTGGCAGGGACAGTGGAGAGGTACCTCCTACTTGTCTGCACTCCCTCCGCTCAGGATACACCCTCTCCTGCCTGTCTGCAGGGACAGCCAGTGACAGCTTGCATCTTCAAGCATCTGCCTTCTCCAGACACCCCCTGTTCATTTGTCCTTCATCCTGCGGCTGGAATGGCAGCTCTGACCACACCACCCCCCTGCCTCTAGCCCTTCCCTGGCTCCCTACTGCTCTCAGGACAACCTTCAAGCCTGCTGGCTGTGCCAGTCCTCTGTGGCCTGACTCCAGCCTGCCTTCTCTGCTCGCTGTGTTCTGGTGTCACTGGTCTGCTGTGGTTGCAAATGTGCTGTGCTTTTCTGGCTGGTGGGCCTTTGCTCACCACCGTTCCCCTTGCCAGGACCACTTCTCCCCACTTCTTCACCCTCCCCTCCTCATCCTTCACATCTCTCTGTGGAGGTGTAATTCCATTCGGAAGCTTTCCCTGAGCCCCCAGGCTGGTGTAGATGTTTCTGCTGCCACAGGCCTGGGCTCTCCAGCACCTACCCTAGGGCACCATCAGCTATCATTGTTTACCCGTCCTCTCCCCACCTGAGTCCTCTCCCCACCTGAGTCCTCTCCCCACTTGAGTCCTCTCCCCACCTGAGCGGTAACCAGACCCATTGCGTCTCTGGGTGTGCAATTGAGAAGGGCTGAGTGAACCTAACTGGCCTGAGGAAAGGAGGCAATGGGGAGGAGAGGTCCTGCCTTCAAGGGCCTATCGGGTGTGTCAGAGCCTGGAGGGAGCTGGAAAGGGCCAGACCCTCAAGAGAAGATGCCCTTGTCAGTACCTGTCAGCTCTGTGAGGTGGGCTCCAAGGCCCTGGGAATGCACCTGAGATTAGAGGCCTGTGCTCATGGAGCCTCTACCAGGGTTTTCCCATCACTCCACTCTCATCACAGTAGCTCAGAGAGGTCACTGTCACTCAGCCAGGAAGTGGCAGCAAAGCCCAGATTCCACCCCCCACCCCCCCTTCTGGCCTCTGCTTAGCCCTAGGAACTAGAAGCCACCTTAACTGGGTGTGCACAGGTTTGAATAGTCAATAGTCTCATTCTGCTGTTTTTTGTTTTTTTGTTTTGGGTGCTGGTTACATGAGTTCGTCTCTTTGCTAAAGTTCTTCAAACTATGTATACTTAATGAGTTCTACAATTTTCTGTACATATATTATACTTCAATGAAATGTTTATTTAAAAGAAAGTCCTCCAAGTCAGCTGGCGGCTGTTCTTTTCTTTTGTGATCCTGATGCTGGAAGCCACCACTGAGGCTGGAAGAGCAGAAAGAGAGCCGGAGGCCTGGGTCCCCCGGGCACTGAACTACGCCAGCCTTTTTCTGTGAGAGAATAGACTCCTCTCTTGGTTGAGGCACTGATGCTGGGATCTCTGACACCACAGGCAGGACGACGCCAGGAACCTTTCCTGTTTAGAGCAACTGCTCTGTCCCCAGACCTAGCACAGAGTGATCACTCAATAGATACTGAGAAACCCACAAGTTAACTGAAACCTTAAAACAAATGAACAACAGTTATGGTCCAAGGGGAATGGTATAGACAACCTTGGAAAGATGCTAGGAGACCCACAGCAATGCAGAGAAAACACTCCCCCAGGGTGACAAGTACAGTGGCCCCCCAGAGGCAGTGAGAAACATTGGGTCCTGGGTTCTAGTCCTGCCACTGCCCCTGCCTCATTGTGTGACCTGGGGAATGTCCCTCCTCCCTGTGCCTCCACTGTTGTAGGAGGGTAACTAGCTACCCGTAGGCTCGTGGTGAGGATACTGAGGCCCAGTGTGAGCAAGTACCTGGCTTGTGGTAGGGCCAGGTGAAGGTTGCCTTTCCACCGCCCTGCCTCAGTTTCCTCATTTGGCAGAGAGCTGGCTGCATGAACTCTGGGGACTCCCGGTCATCACCCCCACTGTTTCTCATCATTACAGGAGAACTCCCCAGAGCAGCTTCCCTGGAGTTACCGGGAGAAGACCCGCTTTGGCCGCCTGGGCCAGGACCTGATTGAAGAGCTGGTTGGCTCTTGTCGGAGAAAGCCATTTGCATTGGTCTGTGGCTCGGCTGAGTTTACCAAGGACATGGCCAGGTGCCTGCTGCATGCAGGCCTGGCTGAGGACTCCTACTTCCTCTTCTAGGCCTGGCCTCCCTCCCAAAGCCCAGGCCAGGGGCCTACTCATGGAGGAGCACAGACTGGAATCAGAAAACGTGGACAGAAGACCACCACTAACTTGCCAGGTGACCTTGGGCAGATTTCTTTACCTCTGTGCACCTGTTTCTCATCTTCTGACTCCCTTAGGCAGGCATCCTGTTGTGTGGAGGGAAGATGGGGCTGCAGGAGCCTGGAGAGGAGAGTAACCAGCCTGGGAGTCATGGAGGACTTCTCGGAGGAATCCTGGTCCAGGCTGAGCCCCAGGATGAGTAGGAGTTGGTAGGAAGAGGGGCTAGAAGAGCTCCCCTGCTTCCTTAGATTATAGGGTTATGCGGGGCTCCCATCAGACCATGCCTGCTTCCCCTGGAGGCTGAGAATCCCTGTGTTCCCAAAGGGCTGGCTCAGAGGAGGTGTATGTTAAATGTTCAGGGAATGACCATAGGGGCGGCTGAGAGCTCTCTGGAGGCCTTATGTACCTCCAGTGCCATGAGCCAAACACAAGGAAGGTCTTGGGTTCTGTGACCTGACCACATTCCCAGAGCGAGGTGGGGCCTTGGGTTACCTTTGTTTTTGGGCCTTTCCTGCTTCGAATGGCTTCACTCTCAGTCTCCCTTCCCTGGCTCAAGAGCCCAGCCGAGAATCCTTTTTCCAGCAAAAGAGGCATAGATGCAAACGCCCCTCCCTCCTGCAGGCAGCCAGCTCTGCCCTCCCTTCAGCTCTGGTGCCCTGGCGACGGTTGCTATGGAGATCTAAAGATAGAGCAGGAGTCAGGAGACCTGGGTCCTTCTCCCTGCTCTGCCCACTGAGTGGATGCTCATTCTGATCCACCCACCCCTCTCCGCACCCCGCCCCTTCCATCCTGCAAGGGGCTTGCCCTCCCCAGGGAAGCCAGCGCCCCTGGGCAGCGCACTGCAGTTAATGAATTCTGCTTTTCACAGCCATGCTCCAGTGCGCTGCACCAGCTAAGGCTGGCTACAGACAGTCCCAGAATCAGAATGTTAAGTCATGGAATCTCAGAATGAGAGAACCATAGAATCATCCAGTTAGAATTTTACAGTCATAGAATCACAGTCCTCATCATGTCAGAGATTGAAGTTCAGGACTCCAGAGAGCATCCAGTCTGCTAGACTCATTGTATCGATGGGAAAACCGAGGCCCAATGAGGGCCAAGTAACCTGACCAAGGGACAACAGTTCACAGCAGGGCCAGCACCAGAAGCAGATCTCCGGATGGCATCCTGTGCTCAGAGTCCTGTACCAGTCAGTGGTTTTCAAACTGGGCTCCGTGAGACACGAGGGTTCCTGGCGTGGCAGAAGTGACGGGATGACCACGTGGGATCTCCAGGACCCCTTTCAACCGGAGCAGTTTCATTTTTATCCCATTTATGTCTTGGGCTTGGATTAATTTTGGTTTGTGAAAAAAGCCTTTCCTTGTACCGCCCAAAAAGTTGCAACAAATCTCTGTGCTGTGCCATGTCCAGTAAATAATCATGACAAGCAGTTGGGGATGGTGCCAAAGGTTTCAAACTGTTTCACAGGTGGAATTCCATGGTCAAATGGATGTGGGGAATACTGACTGTGACCTTCACTGAGAATCATATATGTACATGAGTATATTAAAGGCTCTGAAAGTCCAGCAGTAAAGAAACTTTTAATTTTGTTTAACCTAGAGTGTCCCAAGCTAAGTTAACTGTAGAACATTTTTATCCACTAGAGTCTTTTAAGACCAGCGATCCATGGAATATGCTTTGGGAAACGCTGGGCGGTCGCAGCACCTCTGTTTAGTACAGTGTGATGTGTGGGAAGGCCCTGCCCTGAGTCAGAGGTTCCAGCAGGAGCTGTGATCTCCTTTGGCCTTGCCTGTGACTTGGGCAAGACATATATCCTCTCTCAGGGCCTTGGAAATCTGGGCGTCTTCCTCCTTGCTCTCCTCCCCCTCAGCACATCTTATTGGTTCTCCTCACAGGTACTGCTGGAGGGCCTGTTATGAGCCAGACTCTGTTCTGGGCACTGAGGAAACAACAGTGAAAGGCAGGTGCAGTTCTAGTGAGCTCCTCCGGGAAGGAGAGCAGACATGAAACCAGTAATTCTAGGGATGCGTGTTCTAGACAGGAATGTGTGAGGTGCTAGGAGCTTGGACAGCAAGGGTTAGCCCAGCCTGGGAGAGGCCAGGACACATGCCCGCACAGAGGGCAGAGGCTTCAAAGATGATATCCTCACTCATAAGGGTGATGGGGGGGTCCCCACTTAAGGGGTGGGGAGTCTGGGGCAGTTCTTGTGTGTCTGTCTTTGTCCCCTGTTAGGTATTTGATGTGTAGATATTAGACAAGGCCACCTAGTGATAACCAGCAGCCCATCTTGCCCTACAGTATCACCCTCCTCTTCCCCTTACTCCATGTGGGATCTGCGCAGCTTGGGTACTGGTGGGTCTCTTATCATGGGACAGTGGTGCCAAGGGGCTCATATCATCTGGAAATTTGAGAGCTCGTTGCTGGTGCCATGCCTCTCAAGATGCTAAGTGAGTCCAAAAAGAGGACTGGTTGGAATGTGTGAGGATGGGCCTCTTTGAATTGGGGGTGTTCCCATCAGCTGGCCCATTTCTGCCATCTTTCCTGATAATGCCCCCGTAGCAGGTCATGGGAGGTGTGCAGTCAGGGTCATGGCAACAAAAATGATATGTGCCTCAGTCCAGCCCTCACCACGTTGTGCCTGCACCATTCACACATTCCCCTCACTGGTCTCCTAGCCTCCAGCCTCTCCCCCACACCCACTTCACACTGTGGCCAGACCGATTTTACTGTGGTGAGAACACTTAACATGAGATTACCCTCTTAACACATGTTTAAGTGTACAGTGCTTTAGTGTCGATAGTAGGCACAGACCTCGAGCTCACTCAGACCACTTTTTCTAACACACACAAATCTGAGCCTGTCACTCCCTTGCTTAAGATCCTCCAGTGGTTCCCTGCTACCCTTAGGATATAGCCTCTCAGCTGTTTGCCTTTACAGACTTATTTCGTGATACTGACCCCTTGCCCTCCCCACCCCCCACCCCCAACTCTTAATGTTCCAAACTTGTTCTCTTGCATCAGTCATTTCCTTCACATTGGCTGCTTCTGCCTGGGCCATCCTGCCCTCCTCCTGTTGCCACTCACCTTGGCCTCCTTGTCTCCTAAGGGCTCAGCTCAGTGTCACTGCCTCTCGGAAGCCTTGCCTGCTTCTGCCACTCCAGGCGAGATTAGTGAGAGTCTCATGCTTTCTGTTGCTGCACTTCTCAGCCTGTCTTGTTTGCCTGCAAGCACATCAAGGGTCCTGTACTGCGGCCTGTTCATACACTGATTCTGCTTTATTATGCTCCATAATTAAAGACGAAAAAAAATAGATTAAATATACCTGCTCAAAGTGCTTCAGCAGCTAGGGGCTTAAAAACATTCATTCCCTCTCCCCACCTCAGGATTTGCTATGTCCCTTTATGCCTCCAAGCTTTCCAGTGTCTCATTTGTGAGCACCTACTGTGTGCTGGCCTGGTCTAGATACAGCAGCAATAGCACAATGCCCAGCACTTGTAGCTTACATGCTGTTCCTTCTGCTTGTCCCTCTTCTTTTTCTTGTAAACGCAAACCAGAGTGACTTTCCAGACACCACAGGTGGGATTCTTCTCTCCTTTTTAAAAATTGTGTTCCTTTTTATATGAGGCTGACCTAGGTTCAGATCTCTTACTGATTCTGTAAGTATTCAAAGCAAGTAACTTGGCCTCTCCAAGCCGCCGTTTACTCGTCTACACAATGGGGTGTGTGTGTGTGTGACACACATTCCCAGGGTTGTGTGAGGATGAAGGAAGCATGTGCAATGCCCAAGAACAGCACTTGGCACATAGTGGGTGTTACACCCCGGTCCCCTCCTGCCCTCTCCCTGTTGGCCCTTCTCAATGGTGTCGGCCCGTGGCTGGCCTCTGAGGGCAGCATGTGTTCTTAAACTTTTCACTTTCAGGAACTCTCCTTTTTGTTATTTTTCCCCATGCTTTGGAAGATTTTGATCCCAAATTGCATGTATTAAGTCATCATTAATTTATCTCCCATTTTTTATTAATCAAAGACATAGATAGCTGCCCCCCAGAGCTTCTGATCTGTACAGCCAGCTGGGAGCCACACGTGGCTGACATAATTCCAGCCAGAGGCAAAGGCACTCAACAGTGTGTGGTCTGGGTGGCCTGAGGAGGGTGAATGTAGATGCATCATGCTCGTTTTCTTTTCATTGACCATGAGTTGTGGGCACTGCTCTGACAGGTCACTCGTAGGCTAGGGGCTGAATTTTTGGGGCCAGGCTCTAGAATGGGGCCCCACGTGGGTCCCAGACCCCTCATCCCATGGAGCTCACTCCACATAGATGGTGTGCACCAGCGCCACGCAGAAGAGCGTAGGGTTCACAGAGTGGGAGGTGGCAAAGCTGTCTGTACAGGCCCCATAGGCTCTGTCTGGAGACCACCACACCATCCTGCCCCTTGCTTCTGATGCTGAAAGACCACACGAGTTTGTAGCCGGGCAGGGTGACAGCCTTGACCAGGTCCGGATCTCAGCGCTCAGCACCGCAGCCAGGTGGGCACGCTGGGCTGGGTGGAGAACCGCACTGTCCAGCTGGGAGGGCAGTGAGCCTGCATCAGCTCCTCTGCCTGGATGCAGGGGAACTTCACCTCCGGCTGGCCGACCGCAAGGAACCTGGAAGGAGAGGAGGGAGGTGATGGTGGGGGTGTTTGCAACAAGGAACATAGAATTTGGGCTTGAGGCCTAATATGTTGAACACGGAACCCTGAGTTGGAGCATGGGATTTGGGACACGGATTGAAAATGGGACACAGAACCTGGAAGACAAGACAACTTCATAACTTCGTAACAACTTCATGTGCAGTGCTGTGCGGTGATTAACCCGGCTTCCAGGTGGCCCTGCCTGCAGTAAGTGCCCTAGGGCTCGGGGTCCTGCTTCCCCTCCCTCTCCCGGCACCCCTCCCC